GTCTCCTGCCTCCGCCTCCCAAGTAGCTGGGACCACAGGCGCCCGCCACAACGCCCAGCTATTTTTTGGTTGCAGCCATCATTGTTGTTTGGCGGGTCCAGGCTGGGGATTCGAACCCGCCACCTTAGGTGTACGTGGCTGGAGCCTTAGCCGGTTGAGCTATAAGTGCCGAGCCTGATATGTTATTATTAATTGAAGGCTATAGTTTATTCAGCTTTCCTTAGTTTTTACCTAATGTCATTTTTCTGTTCCAGGATCCCATTCAGGACACCACATACGTTTTATTTATTTATTTAACCACACATGGTCAAGTCATTTGATTTCTTTATTTAACCACATTACGCTCAGTTGTTATGCCTCCTGGGGCTCCTCTTGGTCATGACAATTTCTCAGACTTTTCTTGTTTTTAGTGACCCTCACAGCTTTGACTACCAGGAGGTATTTTGAAGGACATCCCTCAGTTGGGGTTTTTCTGATGTTTTCCTCATGATCAGCCTGGATTATGAGTGTTTGGGAGGAAGGTCACAGAGATAAAGAGACATCAAATCAAGGGCACATGCCATCAACATGACTTATCCCTGCTGATGAGGACCTTGATCACCTGGCTGAGGGAGTGTTTGTTAGGTTTCTCTACTGTGAAGTTACTCTGTTCTCCCTCTGTCCTTATCAGAGTCTTGGGAAGGAAGTCACTATTTGCAGTCCACACTTAAGGAATGAGGAGCTATGTTCCACTTCCTTAAGGGCCAAGTATCCACATAAATTATTTGGAATTCCTCCGCATGGGAAGTTTCTCTATTCTTCTTGATATGTTTGCTTATTAAATCGTTTGTTTACATCATTATGAACTCACAGATAATTATTTTAATTTTTTTTTTTTTGTTTAGAGACTGGGTCTCCCTCTGTCACCCAGGCTGGAGTGCAGTGGTGCATAGCTCCCTGCAAACTTGAACTCCTGGGCTCAAGTGATTCCCCTTCCTCAGCCTCTCGAGGAGCTGGGACTACAGGTGTGCAACACTATATTTCGCTAAATTTTTAATTTTTTTTTAAATGGGGTATTGCTATGCTGCCCAAGGTGATCTAAACTATTGGCCTTAAGCCATCCTCCTGCCTCAGCCTCCCAAAGTGCTAGGATTATGGGCATGGGCCATTGCACCGGTTTGGATATTTATTTTATACTTTGGGTTATTACTCAGTACTACTTTATTTATTTTGTTTCTTAAATTGTTCGAGCTTTGGCCACTGGAAGCCCTTTCAGTTGGTTCCTTTATCCCTTATAAAAATCGAATTGTTTGTTTTCTTTTAATGATGTTATGTAGTCTAGATAAATGCCCTTTATCAGAAATATGATTTGTAAATATTTTCTCCCAGTCTGTGATCTGTCTTTTCAATTCCCCTAACAGCATCTTCCAAAGAGAAGTTTAAATTTTTTTTTTTTTAAGACAGTCGCAAGCTGTTGCCCTCGGTAGAGTGCTGTGGCATCACGGCTCACAGCAACCTCAAACTCTCGGGCTTAAGCGATTCTTTTGCCTCAGCCTCCCAAGTAGCTGGGACTATAGGCACCCGCCACAATACCCGGCTATTTTTGGTTGTAGTTGTCATTGTTGTTTGGATTCAAACCTGCCAGCTCTGGTGTATGTGGCTGGCGCCTTAGCTGCTTGAGCTATAGGTGCCAAGCCATGTTTTTCCATTTATTAATCACTTATTTTGAGTTAATGGTTGGATATGGCATGAGGCATAAGTCAAAGGGTCTGGGGTTTTTTTCCTGGTGGTTGTTTTATTTTTGCATTTGGATATCCAATTGTTCCAGCATTGTTGAAAAGACTATCCTTCTCTGTTGCACCTTTGACTAAAATCAGTTGTCTATATATGTTATGAATCTATTTCCAGACTTTTTTCTTATACCTTGATAGATTTCTCTATCTTTACACAAATCCCATCACATTTGATCACTGTAGCTTTATAGTAAATCTTGAATCCAGGTAATGTTAGTCCTCCAATTCTGTTCTTTTCCAAAATCGTTTGGGCGAGTCTAGGATCCTTTGGATTTGCATATGACTTTAGAATTAGTTTGTCAATTTCTACACAAAAAGCAATCACATTATATTTCTCTTGTCAACGTCGTCTCTCATCCTCTGCAGTTGTCAATTCAAACCTTCCACTTTTCCCTGCTCCCCAGCAGAGGACCCTACCTCCTGCTTCAAGAGAAAATCAAAGCCATCAGAGGAAGGTTCCCTACTACCAAATATGAAGACTCACCTCCTCCTGTTCCCCTGCGTCCTAGCACACCGAGGAAGCATTTCTCTTCCTGCCTAAAGCCCACCCATTCACATGTGCTTCAGACCCTTCCCCATTTCAGTGTCCCCCAATGAGTCATTATTCCCTTTCTCTCATAGATCCAACCTCCCACTCTCAACTGGATCCTTACTAGCAATTTTCAAACTGCCAGTTTTCCTTCTTTTAGAGAACTTGCCCTGTGTTCTGCTCTCAGGCTCTCCTGGCTCAATCCTGGCTCCTTCCCCTTCTCACTCTGCATTTCCTCCCTAGGTGAATTCAACCAAAGCCACTACCCTGGTTTTGGTCACCACTGGTGTGGCGCTCCCAATTACACATCTTTAACCCTGATCTCTCTTCTGAGATTCAAACCCACATAGTTCCTATTTGTCATCTCTCCTTGAACATCTTACAAGTCCCTTAAACTCAACAGGTCCCCAAACAAACTTATAATCTGTGCTCTCCCTTTCCTCCCAGACCCAGTCCCCTTCCATGGTTACCCTCTCAGGAAATGACACCAACATCCACAGCCCATGCAAGCCACAAACCAACCCCCATCCTCAGTTAATTCATCATTAATTTTCATTTGTTTTACCTCCTAAAGCAAATCTGCTAATTTTTTCTATGCCCTCCCATCTTTGAGCCCCAAATACCACCCAGCAGCACCTGGCAGGTTGGCCTGGATCCCCTCTTGCCCTTCTCAGTGAGCCTCTATAGCCACAGTGACCTTCTCAAAACCAGTCAGCTCAGCACCTCCCCTGCCTAAAAGTCATGCCACAAAAACACTGCCCATAGGACCAAGGATCCTCACTGCTGCCCATAAACGCCTATGTCATCTGGCCCCGTGGCCTCCTCAGCCCCCTGTCCCACTACAGACCCCAGCCCCCACCCCTACTCCAGCCACAGTGACCTCTGACCTTTCAGGCTCCTCCTCCTGTGGTCTTTGTGGGTGTCCCCGGCCCCCAAGCGCTCCTCCCTGTTCCACCTGGCCATCCTGGACCACGCCCCCTTATGAGCTCACTGCCACTCCCTCAAGGAAGCTTCCCTCCTCTCTAGTACCACGTGCCTCTCCTTCTTGGCACTTGCTTCAGTTAAAACTTCAGATTATTTGGGTGGGCAATGTCTGATTCCCCACTCTAGCTCCAGGAGGCCAAAAACATCACCATTGGTTTTACTCACTATAAATTCATAGGTTAAAAAGGCCATTGAAAAGCACCAATCCTATTTCTGAAAACAACATGGGAAACCATTTTTCGCAACTCAGTGCTGACACAGGGCTTAGAAGCGCCACCTGTGACCCCATGCTGTTGTTTCTCCTAGATGCTGCCTACCTTAATTCTCCCTCCAAGAGAGTGATCTTCCCCCGGGTAGAAGTGTACTGCCAGATAGAACTCGCCCTTGGCAATGAGAACCGCGAACTCAGTCAGCCAAGCCTCCAGTCACAGCAGCCCAGTCTGGAAGGATCTACAGAACTTCATAAGCAGTGGGCTCCCAAAGGGGATGGAAAGGGTGGCCATATTCCACCTGTGTCCCCACCTGTGCAAACACCAGCTCCCACCTGTGAGTGGCTTGTGGAGTCACCTGTTTTACTACCTGTCTCTTCATCTGAGCAGTTACCTGCATTGCCACTCGCCTCATCAGTGCCACATTCTCCAGCTGACTGGCCACCCAGATCACTCTCAGCTATGCATTCACCACCTGGCTCACCAATGCCCCTCACACCACCTGGGCTGTCACCTGTGTCACCTCAGCAGCAGGTACAACCATCTGGATCACCACCCAGACTCCCACCCACCCAGACACCTATATCACCCAGATCATCCCTGGGTCCTTCAGCTGTGATTAGACCTCTGACATCATCATCACCTACACAGCCACCCTTGGAGGACCCAGGACAGTTCCCAGGTAGGACCCTTCTGTCTTCTCACGGTGTCCTTATGTCTGGAGCCCTTGGTAAGTGTGTAACACCATCATGGCTGATAATCACTGCTTTAGGGGTAAATCGAAGTTACAGTAGCTCTGCCTCTTGTAGTACAGGCTGCCACCACAAGGGGCAGTGTCATTGACATTTGCTCATTCCCTGGTGTAGTGGTTCTCAAAGTGTGGTCCCTCCCTTGGCAGCAAAAGCATCATCTTGGAACTTGTTGGAAATGACAATGCTGAGCCCCTACCTACTAAATAACAAAGTTTGGGCTTAGATTTCCCCCTCTGCTACTGGAGGTTCTGTTGCCCCTCTTTTGGCTTATCAATCATGCTATCAATCTTTCTCTGTCAATTAACTCTATCCTGTCATTTAAAAAAAAAATAAATAAATCACAAATTTTGGGACCTTGGCCCAGCTGTCTGACCTTTCTTGCAAGCTTCCAGGTGATCCTTTTGCCCATTCCCATTTGATAACCACTGCACAGTAGAGTTTTACTGTGAAAGCTACTGTGCTGGGCAGTGCTATGCAAAGAGTCATCTGCAGACCAGAGCAGCGCCTGAATTGTTTATTCCCAGCTCATGATGGAATGAGTGTAGGGACTGAGCATAAGTATTTAGAAATGTTTACAGCACTAAGATATTGCCACAAGACCTAAGAGCTTGATCATTTTTTACTAATCATTTGCACTGTATTTTACAAAAGTACTAGTCTATAGAATTGCAGGCCAGGAATGGTGACTCACACCTGTAATCCTAGCACTCCAGGAGGCTGAGGTGGGAGGACTGCTTCAGGTCAGGAATTCGAGACCAGCCTGAGCAAGAGCAAGACCTCATCTCTACTAAAAATAGAAAAAAACTATTCAGGTTTGGTGACAGGTGGCTGTAGTCCCACCTACTAAGGAGGCTGAGACAGGAGGATCATTTGAATCCAGGAGTCAGAGATTGCATTAAGCTGTGATGACACCACTAGTCAGGGCACAGAATGAGATTCTGTCTCAAAAAAATTGCAAATCAAATTTGTATTCTTTCTTTTTTTGAGACAGAGCCTCAAGCTGTCACCCTGAGTAGAGTGTGGTGGCATCACAGCTCACAGCAACCTCCAACTCCTGGGCTTAAGCAATTCTCTTGCCTCAGCCTCCCAAGTAGCTGGAACTACAGGCACCCACCACAACACCCAGCTATTTTTTGGTTGTAATTGTCATTGTTGTTTTGGCAGTCCTGGGCTGGATTCAAACCCTCCAGCTCAGGTGTACGTGACTGGCACCTTAGCTGCTTGAGCTACAGGCACCCAGCCACAAATCAAATTTTTTAAAAATTGTTCATTGCTGCAGATAGTTTGAGAAGGGCTCCTCTAGAGAGATGGAGCATTTCAACTCTGTACTCTCTGGAATTCTCTCCCATAGAGGAGATGATATGGATGTTAACCTTAAAAATACAAGAAATATTAAATACTATATAGTTAACAAAAACATGGAGTTGGAGGGTATTCAAAGAAAATATTAGATCACTTTTTTCTTGGAGAATATGAAAGGCTTCTTGGAGGTTATAGGTGATTTTAAATGGGCAGGATTTGAATAATCATGGTTTGGATGGGATGGAGTAGAAACAGCATTCCAGATTTAGTTCATTTGCGAGCTCAGGTGCAGGGTTGGAAAGTGTAAGGTACATTTAGGATGAAGAGGACATATGTGTGACCACCATGGATGGTCTGGGTGGAGACAGAGGGAGATGGACTGAAGCCAGGTTGCAGAGTCTTCATGGTCCATCAGCCAAATTCCCATGGTTATGATAAACATCACAGCAAGGTCTCCTCCTTTTGGGATCTGCCCCAAGTCAAGGGTGATCTCTCTTCCTCTCGAATAGAGGATTAAAAGAATCAAATAGTACTTTGATTCTTTTAATTACAATGAGACAAAAATATCAAGATTTTAAGAGTCAAGAAATTGGTCAGGCCAACTGTTTGTGTTTTACATGCTTGCTTATTTCCATACTCACATCTGGGCATTAAGCTGTGCGTCTCCAGGTACCGAGCAACCCTGGGCCCAGAGTTGGCATTCCTCACTCCCAGTGATTTTGCCTCCCAGGAGACAAGTTAGTAACATCTGCACACATTTTTGGTTGTCACCTAGCAGGTAGAGGCCAGGGATGCAGCTGAATATCCTCTAATGCATAGGACAACCCCACAGTGAAGAACTATCTAACCCATAACATCAAGAGCAGGCACTCAGGTTGAGAAATCCTATTATAAGGTGGCCTCAACAGCCTCATCCATCTATGTGAGTTAGACAGGGCAGAGCTCCCCAGATGTAGTGTTATCCGTCAATTAGTCATGGCCACAGTGGTATTGGGGGACAGGAGAATTATGAAAAGCCCTAGAAAAAAATCATAAATAAGGAGACCAGCCTCACTACAAATAGATTTGGGAGATCTAGGAACATCTGTTTCCTAACAAAAAATTCCAGGTGGGGAAAACTAAATAAGTTTTATATTGCTTTTATTTACATACATTACATAATTACATATTAACATCCATATATGAAGTATCCCCATACTCACTGAGAATATGCAAAGGGCTTACTTAAGAACAATTATCGTAAGACTATTAATATTCTTTACTCTAAGAAAAAAGAAAAAAGCATTCTATAAATCATGCAACAGAAAGTTCAGCCTCTTCCAAAGGATTTTCCTGAAAATGTTCTAACATGGTGCCTTCTGTGAGGGAATCATCTGTCACATTGCTTCAGGGGTCAACATCGGCTCTTCTTCCACAGATACTCTGGCCTATGTCTACCCAACAACACAATTCTGGCTGGAAATAGGAGAATCTGAGAACCAGAGAGTTCTGTACCGGTTTTAAATATTCTAGCTTACTTACTATTGTTATTTCAGAATGACTAAATACCCCCCCCCCCATTTTGCTCATGTGTCCTGTATTTTACTTTTGGCTCTAGCACCCCTTACCTCCACAAATCAAAAAAGCGCAGTGCCTCTGGTTAACACGAGGGAAACCATCAGCAAGTCTTATGTAATGTAAGTTTTTCCTTTATTGGAAACATGTTATTTCTCTTGGGAAGGGGAAGGAGGTCCAGCTAAGTGGTACTTTTCATCTCTTTAGTAGCCCTGGGATCCTTTCCTATTTCATGTGATTACAGTCCTCCCCTTTCTGTCTCCTGAACCGCCCCCTTCCTCTTGTTCGGTGAGGGGGATGTGTCCATGTTGAGGGTGTTGTTCTAATTAGCTCCCTCCTGTACACACTGGCATGCCCCTTTTTTGAGTACGGGGGCATGGTGTGAATGGAGGGACTCTATCAAAGGCCTCTCTTGTTCCAAATTATTTTCTATCAGCATGGTAAAGACCTAATGTTGTAAACAGTCCCCAGGAAATATTTTTATAATGCATATCAATTGCTACATTGTGCAATATATACTCTGTTATCATCTTTATAATAAGTTCAAGAGGGCTTGGAGATCTATATATTTTTAACTTTCCTGGGGACTATATTACCTGGGCTCCCTTGATGACTGAATGCTAATTGGTTCAGCCAGTGGAAGGCACTGCAAGGGATCAGAGGGTGGGTCAAGGGTATTTTGCCCCTACAATCCCACCCCCAACCTCACTCCTCCCTGCCCTTGGACTGCTCTGGTGGTGGCTGAAGAGCAGGGACTGAGCCATTCCTACTTTTGACGTTTGTATTCCATATCACATCAAACATGTTAAAATTTACCTGCTTCCCACATTAAGTGTAATTTTAACTATAAAACTTTTTGAAAGAGTTTGTATAAATTTAATAATTTTGAGCTTAGGCATAAACTATGCATTTCGTTCACATGATTTTAACTTTTTTGCATTTACATATGACTGTATAAAAGCTTGAGTTTCACTTGGCTAGTTGGCATGATGTTGCTTAGGTAAATATTCATTGTTAGAAAAAACAAAAGTTTGCCAGGGAACTCCGATGCTCAGAGTTGACAGCCACAGCTTAGCTGAGCAGGGAGGGCCCTGGTTGGAGCGCCCAGGACAGGCCAATAACGAACCATCTTCTTCGTCTCTTTGCCCAGGGAGAGCCCTGCTGAAGAATCAAACTGGGTGAATAAGGTCTTCAAGAGGAACAAACAAAAGACAAGTTGCCCCAGAAAAGGCTTCCCGAGACATACAAAATCCAAAAAGCCAAGCAGCAAAGTGCAGTGAGCATGACTAATGTTTCTCAAATCCCACAGGGAGGAGCAGCTCCAGGAAATGTCTGCCAGGAGACTGCACCAAGTAGAGGAGGGGTGGGACCTTAGGCTTTGGAGTCAGACACACCCCACACACCATTCCTGGTCTGCCTCGGTCTCGCTTAGCTTGTCGTGGTTAGGATAGTTGGTCTCTCTGAGCCTCAGTGTCCTGATCTGTAAGATGACCATGATACCAACTCATAAGCTGAGAGTCTAATGCGGTCATCTGTGTAAACTGCCTCACTGAGGGCAGGGTGTGTAACAGCACGCAGTAAGAAGTAGGACTGTGGTTACACACTCCCAGAAGTTAACTAGCTGCTGCTCAGCTTCTGAGTAGACTCTACTCAAATGCCAAACTAGACATGCAAGTGCCTATGTGACCCTCAACACATGTACCTCCAACCTGGTGCCAGCCTATAGCTAAGATCCCTGATCAACATAGGCCTGCTTCTTATAGTGTTTGGACTGTATTACGTTGTCATTGATTTCAGTCGACATTTATTGAGCATCCACTAAAAGCCAGATATGCTCCTAGGCTCTGGCAATATCAAAATAGGAATCAAACCCCATCTCTGACTTTCAACAGTTAACTCCAAATCTAACTTTAGACAAAAGGTAAGAATAAAACCTACTAATTTGCTGGACTTTGAGCCTTATATAAAGAAAGTCATTTATTTATTGGAGACAGGGTCTTTCCCTGTCACCCAGGTTGAAGCTCACTGTAGTCTTGAACTCCTGGGTTCAAGTGATCTTCCCACTTTGGCTTCTCAAAATTCCAGGATTACAGGCTCGAATCACCACACCCAGCCCCAAGTTTTACTTTTTTACTGAACCATAATATTTTCTTTCTTTCTTTTTTTTTTTTTAGAGACAAAGTCTCACTTTATTGCCCTTGGTAGAGTGCCGTGGCATCACAGTTCACAGCAACTTCCAACTCTTGGGCTTAGGTGATTCTCTTACCTCAGCCTCCCGAGTAGCTGGGACTACAGGCGCCTGCCACAATGCCCAGCTATTTTTTTGTTGCAGTTTGGCCAGGGCCGGGTTTGAACCTGCCACCCGAGGTATATGGGGCCAGCGCCCTACTCAGTGAGCCACAAGCGCCGCCCCCATAATATTTTCATTAAAGGCACATGTATGTATTCAAAATGCCAAGTTCAAACACAAACCAACACAGGTATCATCTGCAATTATTTCACTGGATTATGAAAGTATTCTCTGAATGGAACAGGTCTACACAGCTTTCTAATTTGTTTCAAGCCTTTGTTGGTCAGAAAAATTTCTAATCATTCTAAGTAACATCCCTCCCTCCAGCTTCCTCTTGTCCCAAGTGGAGGCCCCTGGTAGGCACAGGGATTTTGGGGCAACTGCACACATGGAGGAGGAAAGCAGGACGGTGGAGAAGAGCTTCCCAGAGCTGCTGCAGGAAGGGGGACAAACCCATGGGACGCTTTCTACACTGAAGGTGGAAAGGGAGGGTGCAGCATCCAGTGGCCAGTTGGAGGTCCCCAAGGACATGGTATCAATAATCCCATCCTGGGATTATTTTCACTCTATTCCTTGGTGTCCAGCCCCAGGACTTCCCTTGACCTCTGAGTGTACATTTCCCTGTCTCTAGGAGCTCAGGGTCAAGTTTATCCATGGGCTGCTAGGCAGGCCTACAGCAAGTGTGGGGAGCCTCCCCGGGACTAGGCGTGCTATCTGAGATCCAGGGCCAGATTCGGGTCCCCTGGTTCCAGAGCCAGTTCCCTTCCTACTATAGCAGGGCAGTGGGAACTCTGCAATTCAGCCACAACCACCTTCCTCGATGAATCATCGAGAAATAAAGGTGCTTAATAAAGAAGCAGGCTGTGATGAAAACAAAAAACAAAACATTCATAAGCTACAGGAAACACTGTTGCCAGTGGGTCACACCTCTTGCACCAGGCAGATGGTTGTCTTGAGTGTTCTTTTATGGAACAGATGATGAGACTGCCTGAGGGCAATTTACCAACTGATGGTATTAAGCAATTCCAGGCTTTGGGTTTCCAAGGCCAGAGTAAGGGGTAGAAAAGAGAATCCAAAAATATTAGGGATGAAGAAGGAGGAGTGATCCAGAAAGAGGAGAAATCTGCTCTTTTTTTTTTTTTTTTTGGAGACAGAGCCTCAAGCTGTCCCCCTGGGTAGAGTGCCGTGGCATTTCAGCTCACAGCAACCTCCAACTCCTGGGCTCAAGCGAGTCTCCTGCCTCCGCCTCCCAAGTAGCTGGGACCACAGGCGCCCGCCACAACGCCCGGCTATTTTTTGGTTGCAGCCGTCATTGTTGTTTGGCGGGTCCGGGCTGGGGATTCGAACCCGCCACCTTAGGTGTACCTGGCTGGCGCCTTAGCTGGTTAAGCTATAGGTGCCAAGCCGAAATCTGCTCTTTTCCTCCCAAACTGCAATGACAAGCGACACTGTCACATCCATGTCCTGTGCAAACTCCTGGTCCCCAGCTGATATCCCTGCCAACAAGAGGAGAGAAGCTAGAGTAAAAGCTGGATAACAAAGACAGGTCAGGACCTAATGTCCCAGGCTTGTATAGGACATTTGGGAAGGTTCTGGTTGCAAGACTGGAGCATCAGGAGAAAGGAGCAGAGAGGGGGTCTTTGAATGCATGGAGGAGGGACACAAAGAAGTCGCCTTCAATGATTCTGGATGGGGTAATTCCTACATTAGCCCAGTGTAAGTATCACAGGAAGAGATGTCATCTATGTATTTTTGTTTTATGCTTGTACTCTTTATAGAATGAGCAATTTTATTGCTTTTTCCAGCTTTACAACCAACATGTGCTCATTACAAAAAAAAAAAAATCTTAAAATTTAGAATTAGAATCAAATAGAAAATAAATTCTCCAGAAATCCCAACACCCAGGTATCAATATTTGGGTAAAGACCCTTCCACATTTTCCAAACATACATATCCTTCTAAAAAATTTTTATGAAAATGGTATCATACACTTCATACTGTTTTTTAAGCCTGCTTTTAACTTTAAACAGTATATTACAATTTCTTTCTGTGGCAAATATAGATTTATCAAATTTGTAATGGATCTATAATATTCTATTGGTGCAGATATGCTATTACTGATTTAATCTGTCCTTTATTCATGGACATTTAGGTTATTTCCAATTTTTTACTATTGTCAACATTGCTACGATAAATATCCTCGTTCCTGGGCACGATGGCATGCACCTGTCGCCCCAGCTATGCTAGAGGCTAAGGTAGAAAGACTGCCTGGGGCCAGTGCACAATGATCCTGTCTGCCCTCCAGCCTGGGCAACACAGTGAGACCTTGTCACTATATTAAAATAAATAATTAAATAAATATCCTCATAAACACATCCTTGTGCACGTATGTATGCCAAGTTATCCCCTTGGCATACATTCCAGAACTGGAATTTCTGGGTCACAAGGTCTGTCAGAGAAAAGTTTGATGTATGTTGCCAAATCGTCCTCACGGGGATTACAATGCTTTGGGCTCCTACCAGCAAATGAACTGGAGAGGAGGGGAATCTGCCCGCTACACGCTCACCAACACGAAGCATCACAGGCTCCGTGTCCCTTATCTGCAATGCTGAAATCGAAGCAGCTCTAAAGGAAGCAAAAATGTAAGGCCACTCACCTGTACAGACATGAGTTTATTTATGTCATTATTTATCCCTAGTATGAATTTTCATATACTTTTTTGTTGTTGTTGTTGAGACAGAGTCCCACCCTCTGCCCCTGAGCCGAGTGCAGTGGTGTCCTAGCTCACTGCAACCTCAGACTCGGGCTGTGGGCATCCTGCTGCCTTAGCCTCCAGGAGCTGCTGGGATTACAGGCTCTCACTTGCTTTACAGGTGTTTGCGGGGCACCCGGCTGGGTTTTTCCATTTTTTCATGATTCAGGGACTCACTCTCGCTCAGGTGAGCCTCGAACTCCTGAGCTCAAGCAATTCTCCCTCCTCAGCCTCCCACAGTGCTGGGATTACAGGCGTGAGCCATCCGTCCAGCTGGATTTTCATATACTATTTTGCAGAAATGGTAATGCATTTCATTGTAGGGTGCTCCCCATGCCCCACTGGGGGAAGTTATAAAATGTGATAAATGCATTAGCATTCTCTTTCTAAAATCTCAAACATTCTGGATTCAAAACACATTTGCCTCCAGGGGCAGATAAAAGACTGTGGGCCTATCTCAATCCTTTAATTTCAAACTGATTGGTGAAAACTAACATGCTTGCCTTTCCCCTAAAATAGCCAGCCAGTCTTCTTGACATAATTTATTAAATAATCCACCCCTCCCCTGCTGATCTTAAATATTACCTGTATTTTAGACAAACTTTTCACGGCTATGTTCCATTGATCTGACCATCCATTCCTTCATAAGTAGAGCAGAGATTTTGATTTTTTCATTTTCATTATTTATCTTTTCAATGCCCTCCCTCCCTTGTAGAGGCACAGTATTTGAACCACTGAACTTTTTCTGTGCTTTAATGTCTGGTAGATCAGGTAATGTATTTCTGGTAGGATTAGGATTCAGAAAAAAAATTCTGAACTAATACCATGAGCCAGGACTCTGTTTCACATATAATTATCTTTAAACCCTATGAGGTAGGCTCAGAGAAGTGAAGGCACTAATAAAATCACACAGCAGAACCTCATGTGCAGTAAAGCATTCCAGGGCATTGCTTCCTTCTGGATACTCCAGATAGTCCAGATAGTCCACCTGCAAGTACAAAACATCGAGCTTGACACGTGGTAGATACCCAGTTTTATCTTTTGTTCAGGTCGAAAGTTGACTTTGACCTCCTGAATATATAATACCTTATATTTATTTTTCTTCCATAGCATGCTTGTATTCATTAACCTTTTAAATTTTCAGAGTATTAAAGGTATATCCACATTTTGATTACACAATTCACTTTTGTACATTTTTAGTCAAAGTTGTAAGTGTGCCCTTTGCCCAGAATGTGTGC